TCCCTCCCTCTCTCTCTCTCTCTCTCTCTCTCTCTCTCCTTCTTTCCTTCCTTCTTTCTTTGAGGTAGAGTCTCACCGTCATTCAATCTGGTCCTAAATTCACTATGTAGTCCAGGCTGGCCTCACACTCATGGCAATCCTCCTGCCTCAGCCTCCTGAGTGCTGGGCTTACACATGTGGGCCTCCAAGCCTGGCTGAGTATAAATTTTCTTAAGAACAAAAAGGATACTTAAGAAAATTATGTTCCTAGTCTTATCACTAAATACTACTTTATGTGCTCTTTTATATATTTTTGTTTTTTGAAAAAGGTTCTCACTATGTTGTCCAGGCTGGCCTCAAATTTGTGATCCTCCTGCCTCAGCCTCCTCAGTACCTTGAAGTACAGGTATGCACCACTATGTTTGGCCTTTTATTGTTATTCTTTTCAGAATATGAAAACAGGGATCTAGAGAAACATGCCAAAAGTCATTGAACTGTATACCTAAACTGAGTGGATTTCACTGTATATAAATTATAACTCAATGAAAGAAAAGCTCTGGACATTCCTCAGAAAAACTGCACCACACAAAATTCTGCACATAACTTCTGGATATTCATAGACCCCAATGGTACCCAGGTTAAGGACCCCTACATTAGCAACTTTCTCTACCAAAGAAAATGCTAAGAAAGAGCTCCAGGGACAACAGAGAGACTATAAAAGCAGGAGGCAGTCTTTTGAAACTCTTCTTTAACTACAGCTAAGATGAGAGGTTTAGGAAGAGAATGTACTGCTGTTATCAGCATAGCAGGGTAGTCAGTGATGGTTAGAAGTTACTTGGTTTCCTTCACTAATAAGAAAAAAGAAAAATGAGCCAGGAATGGTGGCATGTGCCTGCAATCCCAGGACTTGGGAGGGTGAGACTGGAAGATGGCTGTGAGTTGGAGGGCAGACTATGCTACACAGTGAGGTTAAGGCCAACCTGAACAATATGGTGAGACCCTGTCTCAGAAATACAACAAAAAAATATAGTTGGAGGGGCTGAATTTACTTCAATGAAGGAGGTGGCAAATTTGGATATATTTTCAATGTAAGAAATAAGAAAAGTAGAAGGCTTTTAAATGTGACTGCTATAACATCTGCATCAAGAACAAATTCTCTGAGGAAAATTCTGGCATCAAGACCCAGCACCCCTGTCTCACCAACTTCTCTTTCAATTTTCAGCCGTATTACTTAGCTAAGAGAAATGATGGGTGAGGAACAAAAGTATCAGTGGAGGAAGATCTGCTCAGAGAAGGAGAAAGAAGGGGCAAAAAAAAAAAGGAATTCAGCAAGTGAGAGATTACTAGAAATATGAGGGTTTAAAAAGTAGTGGGCTGGGGATTTAGTTCAGTGGTTCTGCCACCTGCCTCGCAAGAGCAAGGACCCAAGTTCGAGCCTTCCAAAAAAACAGCAAATAAAAAGAAGTCCCACCACAGTGCTATTCTCTTTGAGATGCTGGGAAATACTTTAATTGATTTATTTGATCTGGATTTCATCATACACAACCTACACAGACAGTTTCAGATGACACTTACTTATTCATCCGTTCAAAAACATTTTCCACATGATTATGTCAGTATTAGCTGTATGCTAAGCAATGGGGATATAAAGATTAATACACACAATATCTATCTTCAAGATGCTCACATTTTAGGAGGCAGATATGTAAATAACGCAGAGTGTTGTGCTACTACGAGAGCCTGGAGGGGACACAGAGCCCAAGCTGGGAGTCATAAACAGGAAGGGAAGTGGAAAGTGGAAGATGGCTTCGGATCCTCCCTCCTTGGCCACCAAAGGGCTGCTCACCTGCAGGCAGAGATGTCTAGCTAAGCACTTCAGAACTTGGGCCATGCTGGCTGTGGCCCATTTTCGCTCATGGTCTTTGACTGACTGTAACCAGGGACCGATGTGCTGCAAAATATAAAGGGAGGCTATATGATTTTCTGGAAAGTTTTGGAATAACACCTTTTTGTATTCTGTTTGGAAGAAAATCTAGAGAGAAAAGATACAGATTACTTCCATGTCTGAAAATATCTCCCTAAATGATAAGCCAGCTGGATTGGAGATGCAATACTCAAGGACCTAAGGTGATGGTGAACCTTTTAGAGCTTTCGATGACAACTAACAGCTGGCTGCAGGTTCGCCAACACAGTTTTGCCACTGACCTAGGCGGTCAGGAGGTCTGGATTATACTGAAGTTGATTTTCTACATTTATTTTCCTTCATCCCAATTCTTTAATTACCTATATTCTTCTGTCTATTTTTAACCCTTTCAAATCTGCTTTGCAAAAAAAATAATGTGCTATTAAAGAACTTGTGGATGGAGAAACAAAATCAGGGAAAGACTCACACAGCACATGACATCCATGAGTAGAAGCTCATCAACACAGTAGCTTCTCAGGTAAAAGAAATGGCTGGAAGTAAGCTGGAAAGCCAGGAAAGTACAAAGCACAACTGGATAAAGGAGAGACACTCAATCTGGCTGGTGTGTTAATGTACAAACGGAAGAATGAGGAATAACGTCAAGGTCAGTTATGGCCGGGATACCCCACCTGTACTTAGGAGCACAGGATTAATAATAGCTCAAAGGATTATTCCTTTCTGGTAAATCCTCATCTTTAAAAAGTGCAAGAAGCCAGACACAGAGGTACATGCTTGTAATCCCAGCACTCTGGGAGGGAGGTAGAGGGAGGAATATTAAAAGTTCAAGCCCAGCCTGGGCAACTTGGTGATTTAGAAAGATCCTGTTTAAGAAAAAAAAAAAAAAAGCGATAAATGCAAGTCAGTCAGCGTGAAGGCCCTGGGAGGACAAGAGAGCAGTGTGCTTCAGCTGTAGAGAATGCACACCAATGAGCAAATCCCTGTTGATGGAATGGCATAAACTGTAACAGCTACAGTTAGGGGAAGGAGGTCACCTGTGACTTCTGAGTCCTGCCTGGTAAGAAGATGCCTGTTTACTAACCCATGAGGCCAACTCTTCCCTTGTTCACTGACTAACTCCTTTCTTCCTCTTCTTCCTCCTCCTTCTCCTGTTCTTCTCTCTCCCTTCCCCTGCCTCCTTCTCTTCCTCTCCTTCCCTTTTCCCTCACCCTCCTCCTTTTTCTTTTTGTGATAGTGGAGACTGAACCCAGGGCCTTTCCACTGAGCTACAGCCCTAACTCCCTTTTTTCATTGTGAGACAGATTTTTACTTAAATTTCCCAGGCTGGACTAAAAACTTTCAGTCCTCCTACCTTCCAGAGTGCTGGCTGGCATTACAGGTGTGCACCAGCAGACCAGGATGACTGAAGCCAAATTGAAATAGTGAAGGGAGTAATAATGTAAAAAATAATTATGTGACCATTTGATCCATTTATTGGGGACCATTTATTCAACACTCAGAGTAATTAGTGTCTCCATGTAAAGGTGAAAACATGAGACTCTGAGAAAGCAAATCCAGAAGATTTTATTTTATTTTATTTTTTGAGATAACATCTCACTATGTATATAGTTCAGGCTAGCCTTGAATCACTATGTAGCCCAGGCTGGCCTCAGACTCACGGTGATCCTCTTGCCTCAGCCTCTGGAGAGGTGGGATTATAGGCGTGTGCCACCATGCCCAGATCAATGCAGATTTTATAGCAGAAGGACTTGTAACCAATGAGCAGCAGTCAGGATTTGAGCCTAAAGCCTAGGACTCAAAATTCATGGCTGATACTCTCAGCTGTATTAACTGCCTCCTGCAATCTAATCTTTCCACATTTTCTTCTTCCACTCTCTCCAATGAATAGGAATAGTTTCCCCTTCTTCCTCAATATTTTTTTTTACCTTAAAAATGGCATCAAATTTTTCCAAATGTGGGTCTTTCACGACCAAACTCTGGAGCATCTCAGAGAATGCCTGGAACGTCTGCCTGTAGAGACACTGAAAAGGCACAGATCAACAATGCCCTCAGCCCAAGAAGTTTCTCAGGGCTGTGCGCTTTTAAGCATTTTTTTTTTTTTTTCGATACTGGAGATAGAACTCGGGTCCTTGTGCCTGCAAGCAGCAGAACAACTGAGCTAAGTCCCTGGCCCTTTAAAGGCTCTCTTTTTAAAGACTTTAGTCAAAGCTGCAGAACTAGCATCAAAGTACCGGTACACAGCATACGGCATGGGATGGACCCGGGCATCCTCATTTCAAACAGACACCCAGGTATGACTGCGATGATAGTTACCTGATTCTAACGACTGCTGAGGAACTATTTAAGGGTTATCAAGATACAGTACTTTAAAAAAGTTGATTTGTGACTCTTTCTGACATCATGAACCACAGGAGAATATATCTTCTTTAGTAATTGCTTTGGCAGCCACAGAATAAAATCAAGGCCTCTACACTTACTCCTGGTCTGCCTGGAAGCTTCCTTCTCTTCTTTCAACTCTGACTCCATTAGAAGGCTTTCCCAGACCGCGCTATGGAAAGAGGCCCCGATTCCTCCCAACCACACTACACTCTTTCCCCTGTCTCTGCTTTACTTTTCTTTTTCTTCTTTTTTTTTGTTTCCAGAGAGGGGATCAGAACTTTCTTCATAACACAACACTAATTACCATTGGAGGTGCTTATTTATCAGTGGCTTATCTCTTTGCATATGAATGTAAGCACCACAATGAGAGTATGTGTGTATTTCCACATTCCTACTGCCCATCACAATGCTTAGCTCATGGTGGCCTTAAATGTAAAATCTATGAATGGATACTCCCATCTTATTATAAAGCCAAAGTTAAAAAAAAAAAAAAGGAGTAAAGGGAAAATGAAACAAAATTTGGGCTATTATCTAATTTAACTACCTATTTTATTCACCAGACCTAGCTTGAATGGTTTTGGCTAGTTTCAAAAAGTCAAGCACTCTTGGACTGGGGATTTAGCTCAGTGGTGCCGCCACCTGCTCTGCAAGCACAAGGATCCGAATTTGACCCCCAGTACCAAAAATATAAAAATCAAACCTTCTTGAGAGGCTAGGATCCACTGACTCTGTGAATAGGAAGTGACTGATACAAAGTGTGAGTTACCTCTGGGTTGGAGGGCCTGCTTGCCACGCTTTCCCCCAGCTGGGCAAGACTTACAGAGGGCAGACTGACTATTCTTCTGGTGATGAGACTGAACAGGTCAGCTTGATCTTCAGAGCCAAACAGCAAGTGAACATCTTGGTAACTAAAAAAGACAGTTTTGGAAGAAGGTTTTATTTGGTATTGATAAGTGGGGACCAAAGTAACTAACAAGACAAGGGAATATTGGCTGCTCTATCATTCTGATGGAAGGCATAAAAAACATGGCTTGTTAGTCTGTTCAGATAAATCTCACAAAAGGTTAGTGGAAGAGTTTCCTGCCAAGAAGTCACTGGGGTGGGAGGGAAGTTTCCTCCAGTTCAGCCACAGAGGGAAGCCCGTTATAGTCTTTTATAGTTAGCCACAATTTTCCAAGATGTATTCTGCTGAATACTGGTTTAGGGACTAGTAAGCTGAATCAAGTGAAAAACTTTTTAACACCAGTGTCGTGGTGCATGCTTATAATTAATCCCAGCACTCAGGAGGCTCAGATGAGCATTGCTTGCAGGTTTGAGGCCAACCTGGACTACAAAGTGAGACTCTGTCTCAAAAAACCAAAAACAAAAAAAACTCCCCCCACCCCAGAAAACCTTTTTAACTGCAGGACATCTCAGTACCTTTAATCGGTTTAGTCACTGTGATATAAGTCTCCAAGAGAGTTAAAGAGCAAGCAGTCCTTGCACAGTACTTAGACCTCGGAACTCTATGGTCATGAAGCATTGTGGGAATCACTCTATTAAATATACTTTGGACAAATCTGAACTCCACAAGGGGAAAAAAATGAGAACTAAGACCTTGGTTCAAGGTACAAGATCCCAATTATGAATGTAATTGTACTGTATACCTAAAATGTACCAATAAACTCAATGAGCAGTCCTTGCACAGTACTTAGACCTCGGAACTCTATGGTCATGAAGCATTGTGGGAATCACTCTATTAAATATACTTTGGACAAATCTGAACTCCACAAGGGGAAAAAAATGAGAACTAAGACCTTGGTTCAAGGTACAAGATCCCAATTATGAATGTAATTGTACTGTATACCTAAAATGTACCAATAAACTCAATGTGAGAACAACGACAACAAAAATCTGAACTTCAAAGAGGATCCAACAAGGCCTTTCAGACCTGGATGGTAGCATATGTAAAATCAAAGTTCTTACACAAACACATAAATTTGGCTTCTTCCCGTTTCCTTAGCTAAACAGTTTTCAAAAGTTAAAATATGCAACATGTCATTTGGCTTTGGCATTGACCTGGATGAGAAATCAGGATGCATGTGTAAGAAGGATGTGCTTGTCACCTGAGGACAGTGATGGTGGCAAAGACCTCCTGGAGCACAGGGCTGAGCAGAGAATGCAGGGGCTCCTCTTGCACCAGTACCTGCAGTGAGAAGGGAGGAATTTTTAGGGAGTTGAAATGCACCAATTCATGAAGCCGGAGATGCTCAGATGTGGAAGGTCTGCAAGAACAAGAGCAAGTCCCTCAGGACTCGCAGCAGGACATTGCAGGAGACTGCAGTTTATTTTCTGGAACCAGACTTTTGGGCCTGGCTATGCCTCTGGCTAAAAGTCTGAGATAACAGTATCACTTACATTCATGGGGGTGGTTGTGAGCACTATGCAAGCTAATTCATTAAATTCATTATACCTAGTAGCCCTCAATAGTTGCTACTGTCTATTACTCATTATTTCTCTTACTAGTGATTGTGTCTAATTTAGGAGTCCTTACTCCTCTTTCTACTAAACCAGTCGTCCCTACTATCATGCCTAGGATCATTCTGAGTTGTTTCTCATGGAGAAGGAACAACTTTGTAGCTTATAAATTGGTAAAGGGACGGCAGCCTTGTGTTAGAAAAATCTGCAGAGTGAAAGGCACAGCAGCGGCTTTGGGATTAGAGGCCCCCAGGGTTTGAGCAGGGCTCTGACACTCACTTAGCACTCACTGTGGCCCTGGGTACATCATTCAACCTCCTTGTGCCTAAGTTCCTTATCTGTTTGGGGTAAGGAGACACATCTCAGGGAGCTGAGTTGAGGAGCTGCTGTGAACATAACAGGAATGCAAATGTAGCAGGAAATCTCCTAAACTGTCTATCCTGTCCCTGTGGGAGCAACCTCTGCTCGTAGGAATGGGCACCTGTGATGGTTGATTGAATGTGTCAACTTGAGTAAGTAACAGCCAATTAAATTGGCTCAGCATACTTCTGGGTGCAGAAGACCCACCCCAGCTAGGGAGGATTAGCACCGGAATGGTAGAAAAGGGAAACTAAGAAGGATTGCTTTCATTTTCTTCTGAGGAGCTTCAGTCTTCACTTCCACCTTGCATGTCGTCTCCAGGCTTCCAACACAGCCTCTTCAGCCTCCAACACTGACCCTTCAGTCTTCTGAAGGTGCAGACCTTTCGAGCTCCTGATACAGACTTGCATGGACACTACACTGAGCTCCAGTATCCTTTGGATCCCCAGTGTACAAACAGACTTTTTGTACTCTTCCACACCTCTGGAATGGCCATCATGAGCCAATCTTGTGAATTCCTACATATCTCTATATCTTCTATTAAATCTAGTAAACATTCTAGTAAGCACTGACTGGTATAGCACCTCAAAGCCAAGTATCTGTCACTCTCTTCCATTGGCCACAGAGCATCTGCCCAGGAGTAGACACTAAGGCCAATTAAATTCTCCCTCAGAAATTTGGAATTGGGACCAAGAATGCCAATTGGAAAAACAAAGTTTTCCCTAGCATGTGGGAGCGGAAGCTTCCTATTATCTGGATTCATTCCTTTCCTGGGGCACACAGCTCCTCCTGTCACGCGGTTCTGGGGAACACTGAGTTTTCCTTAGAACCAGTTTCCTCTTTTGTCTTTCAAAAGACAAAAGTAGTAGGTTTCTACTCTACTTTAGTAGGTTTCTCTTCCCCAAAAAGATCTCACTAGAAACTTAGGGAAATACTCAATAAATAGTACCAGGTTTCTTTCCTAAACTTTTCTCCTCTCTCTTTGCACTCAAGTCTTGCTGGTATCCTACTGCTATTATTTCCACAAGAAGCTCATTTATTTTTTATGGCTTTATAGCCTAGAAGAGACAAAACATGGTTCTGTCTTCAGCCTTGATAGCTCTCCTCGGGCTCTACTCATAGCCAATACCTAGTATTATCCTCCCCCTCCTAAGGACACACCTTTCTAGCCTTCAGTAGCTATCAATGGTGCTCTTCCCCAGACCGAATAAAAAAGATTATTTATGACTTTCCTCCTGTGTTCACTCCCCACATCCCATCAATTCCAGCAGAATTTCTGTGATTCTCCTTTCCTGCAGCCATACATCTCACACGCATTGCCTCTTAGCTGAAACCTCAGGTCTGCAATTCCCTCTGATTTCAATCTATTTGATCTCCTTCTGCCAGAATGATCTTTTCTTTTCTTTCTTAAATCAGTTAAGCATTAAAAACTTGTTTATTCATGGTTATGGCCAGCCACTACACAGGGTCACAAGTGCCAGGCTATGTTTTGCTTGTGAAGTACAGTAGCGGTTCTTAGAGTGACTGGCCAGATCATAGCAATCACCTCTTCTCTCTGCAATAGTGCCAGCACAGAGGCAGGGAAGCCCAGCAGCCATGCCATTCTCACGTGATCCCAGCCACACCTGAGCGATGCAGGTAGAAAACAGGCCCCGACTGGTCCAAGGAAATTCTTGCTTCAATTTAATAACTAGTTATTAGTCAAATCAGCCCTACAGATCTCTGGTTTGAGAAAAAACTGCTTATATTTCTGGAGTATATAAGAAATGTTAGAACCAAAATTTAAGAACTTTAGAGAAACTAAATGGGGCATTTCACAGATGAGAAAATCTAAAACATAAGAAGTTAAATACATACTGAAGTGTGTTACCTCCTCTGCAAAGTCCTTTTGAATCCTTTACAATGACTTAACTATTCATTCATTACTCTGTGTCCCCAAAATACCAATTTAAACTTTTTTCACAGTTTATGTGACACAATTATACCTTGCTTGAATGCAAGGCTGGGGTTTAGTCTTCTTGTCTTTGCAGCCTCAGTTCTCTCAACAATGCCTGGAACTATTTATTAGGTACTTAATAAGGGAATAAATGGACAAGTTCATGGCAGAGTGTGGCTACAGTAAGTACAAATAGGACAGACTACAATAATGGCAATAATACAATCATGTTTCTCAATGCATAATAAGTATTAGGACCATGTTACATGGTTTGCATTTATGTTTAACTTAATGCACATGCTCGCTCTATGAAGTAAACTGCTATTTTTGCTTTATAGATGAGAAAAACAAGGCATTAGGAAGTTAAGTAATTTCCTGATGTCACACAGCTATAAAGTGGTAAAGCTAAACTTGACTCCAGGCATTAGATTAGATTCTGTCCCAAAACTACTGCTGAAGCTAAGAAAGCAACACTGACCTAAGAAATTTAAATGCTAATGCTATTTCTTTCTTTTTTATTCCCTTTTCAGCTGTTTTTTAAGGTTGATTATATTTGTGGGCTACTCCTGAGTATTTCTCTTCCATTCAGAGAAGATGACAGGAGAAGAGATGAAAGGAATTGATAACATAGGTAAAACTACTAAAATTTATTGGCAAGTCACTTGTTTGTGGAGTCCCAATCATTTGTGATGAGATCACAATACTTACATTTAGGATGTGTACTATGTCTGCTACGTGGCTATGAATGAATGATTCTGTGGTTTCATCATAATGTAAAGTTTTGCTGAGCGAAGACAAAGATCTTAGGAATGTCAGCTTTTCAGGTTCATCCTGAATTTGTAGAAAAATGGTAAATACACCATTATATATTATCATCTTACTTGCTAATGTAAGAAAGAAGGTCTTTTCTATCAAAGGATATAAACAGGAGTGCCTCCATTTTAAAATCTAGTTCACCCTAGGCTGCCCTCCTAGTCCCAGCCCTCATACCAGAGTTACAGAAAATGCCTCCTCAATATACGAAAAAATGTTCCACATCACTGATCATTCGAGAGATGCAGATGAAAACAACACTGATTACTTGCTAATGTAAGAAAGAAGGTCTTTTCTATCAAAGGATATAAACAGGAGTGCCTCCATTTTAAAATCTAGTTCACCCTAGGCTGCCCTCCTAGTCCCAGCCCTCATACCAGAGTTACAGAAAATGCCTCCTCAATATACGAAAAAATGTTCCACATCACTGATCATTCGAGAGATGCAGATGAAAACAACACTGAGATTCCACCTCACCCCACAAAAAATGGCTGCTATCAAGAAATCACACAATAACAAATGTTGGCAGGGTTGTGGGGAGAAAGGAACCCTTCTCCATTGTTGGTGGCAGTGCAGACTGGTACAACCACTATGGAAGTCAATATGGAGATACCTCAAAGAGCTTGGACTGGAGGTTCCATTTGACCCAGCCATCCCTCTGCTGGGTATCTTTCCAAGAGAACTAAAAGAATCATATCACAGAGAAATATGTGCACCCATGTTTATAGCGGCACAGTTTGTAATAGCTAAAACTTGGAAACAGCCTATTTGCCCATCAGTTGGAAGCTGGATAAAGAAGATGAGGTTTTTCTATAAAATGGAATATTACTCAGCCATAAAGAATGAGAAAATAGATTCATTCATAGGAAAATGTCTACATATTGAAGATATACTCCTAAGTGAAATAAATAAGGCACACATGTGTAAATACCGAATAGTTTCCCTGGTGTGAATAATCTGCAATAATACAGAAGATCCTAATAAGATTACTGACATTGAGAAATGGGAAGAAAGGAGCTAAAGGTGTAGGGAAGGTGGGATGGGTAGGGGAAGGGTAAAAAAGGAAAAGAAAAAAATGTGAGAGAATGAAAAGATGAAAATAAAGTGTTTATAGAAGGGGAGGGGAGGAGGGGGTGAAGAGAGGGCAGGGACAAGGGGAAAAAATGAGAACCAAGACTTGTCATGTAGAGGTACAAGATCCCAACAATGAATGTAACTGTACTGTATCCCTAAAATGTACCAATAAACTCAATTAAAGCTGAAAAAAAAAAAAAGAAAAAGAAAATGCCTCCTCAGCTTAGATTCCAGGAATGTGGCTGACCACCAAAGATAACTTATCAACAGCCAAGGGTTTTCAGTCCCTATGCACCACTCTCGCCTCCCTTACCTATCCTACTCAGCAATCCTTCAGGCCCTTCCCTTGCGGCCACTTAAACTAGCCAGTTGGGACAGATTGCGAACCTTCAAATCAGCCAATGGGAGGTCAGTTGCTTCTTGAGTTTAAGAAATAAAAGAAGCTTGCTGGTAGCTCATGGTGTGCTCACATCCTCTTGCAAAAGTAAAATTTACCTTGTCAAGATTTCTTGGTGTTTGAGTGCTTTATTATCTGCACTGACAAACTGAGTCTGGGAGTGTATTTCCAACATTAATCGTAATGTTTGTTAGTTTGTTCGTTTTTGGTACCAGGGATTGAACTCAGGACCTTGCCCTTGAGAGGCACGTGGTAGCACCACTGAGCTAAATCCCAGGCCCATATAAGGACCTTTTGAAAAGTATCTTGGAATGTTTTCAACATCTGGTATCTGATGTGATTCATTAGCAGTCTTTTTTTATGTGGAATGAATAAATTATGGAGGGATTTCAGTAAAATCGCTCCTCCCCAGGGGCTGCTTTGGTTTCCAGTGCTTCCCTTTTTGGCTAGATTACTAAGTGTTCCATAGTGACTCTCCACCTCCAGTCTTTTCTTCCCTACCTACCCTTTATCGTGTTGCCAGATTAAGCTTCCTAAAGGTGCCCTCTGGTGCTGTTCCTTCTAGTTCTCATAGTATTAATAAAGATTCATTACTTTAAGTCCTTAAGGTATCCTATTAAAATGCAAGTTCTGATTTGAAGAATAAAATCTTTTTGTATTGACATTCTGTTTTTCTGATTACAAAAACAGTATCATAGAAACTTTGAAAAATACAGAAAATATAACTCCACAAGTTTGAGAAAATTCTTTTACTCTATCTACCTGTATATTGATGGTGTAAACTGGAGAACAACTAGCAATACATAGCAGGAGGCTGATTTCTCACTATCTCTTACATGGATTAGCACAGACATGTAACAATAGATTTCTTTGTTTCAGTTTGGCTCAATTTCCCAGCTATATCCAAATGCATCTTTCTCTTGTTTGTTTGCTTTTCTGGTACCAGGGGATTGAACTCAGGACCTTGCACTTGTGAGGCAGGCTCTGTGTCACTGAGTTGAATCCCTGGCCCTACATCTTTTTCAAATGCAAATTTAACCAGGTAACTCCCCATCTATAGTCTTTAGACAGCATCCATGGAGGTCAAGGTCCTCTTCATTGTGATGATAGCTGACTTCTTCAAATCTTTTCTTGCCTGTCTTGCAGAATTGTGAACTCTGGCCACAAAGAAATTATTGGAAACTCTATCAAGAGAGAAGTCACTACAATAATTGCTCTCATGAAGGTCCAGGCCAAGCAAGATACCACACAGTAGGATGACAGATGTTAATTACACCTGTAATCCCAACACTGAGAGAGGCTAAGGTAGAAGGGTCAAAAGTTCAAGTACCATAATGGGAAATAGGAAAAGGTCTAAAGGAGTAGGGGAAGTGGGAAGGATAGGGGAAAGGAAAGAAGGGAAAAAAATATAAGAAAAGGAAAAAATGGAAACAAAGTCTCTGTAAATAGGGAAGGGTGGAGGGGATGAAGGGAGGACAGGGGAATGGGGAAAAAATAAGAACCAAGATCCATCATACAAAGGTACAAGATCCCAATGATGAATGTAACCGTACTGTATACCTAAAATGTACTAATAAACTTAATGGGAAAAATGTTCAAGTTGCACCTGGGCAACTTAGTGAGACTATCTCAAAATAAAAAGGGATGAGGGCCCGGGATTTAGCTCAGTGGTTCTGCCGCCTGCCTCACAAGCACAAAGACCTGAGTTCAAGCCATAGTACCAAAAATAAATAAATAAATAATAAAAATAATAAAAAGGGATGGGGATGTAGCCGGGCTGGTGGCGCACGCGTGTAATCCCAGCACTCGGGAAGCTGAGGCAGAAGGATTGCTGCGAGTTCGAAACCAGCCTGGGCTACATAGTGAGTTCCAGGTTGTAATGAGCATTGTGAGCAGCCATGAGCTGACAGACTAATGTGACAGACATTACAAGCAGCCATCAGCTGACAGGCTGTGGTAACCAGATGATAAGGCTAAGTAGCTCAAAAGTGTGGCGTGTGGCGTGTGA